GCCCCCACTTGTTATGCCCAGCTCGTGGAAGAACATAACAAAGAGGGAAGGTCCGCGCAGAAAACAGTTTAAATGAATCATAAGGTTTTATCAAAAGTTACCTTAACTTATAATTAACTCAAAACAAAAGTAAACTTGAACTCATCATACTCAAAGCAAACAACCAAAAGAAAAGGAGCTCCTGAAAGGCACCCGCCTTCCAGGAGAGAGGTCGCGAGGAGGAGAGCCATCTTGGTTCACCACAGCTTCAATCACCAACGAGGTAGGTGTGTCCAACCAAACAGGAAGACAGACCTGAAAAGTAAAGGACAGAGAACAGGCCAACCCCCAGGCCCCAGGCCGTCACACATACCATTAAGGAAGGAAATGACTTCTTCAGGCTATATGGAAATGTAGTTTTACTCATGTTGCGCACACTACTTGTACTGTAATTATGATTATTATGTGTATACTATAATGAACAAGATGACTAGTTGGTGTTTGAGGGACGCCACAATATGGTTTTCCAGCCAGTTCACTAACATCGGCTATCACTAATATAGCTCCAGTAATAGTTAACGTTACCTTAACATTACTTCAGGCTGTGATTACAGCGACTGATGACCGATCTATGTTTTTCCCGCACTAAAGCCATGACCCCTTGAGCTTTAGCTCTAGCTTAGCTAAAGCCCCAGGCGATAACCGCTTTCCCCGACCAGCATCAGGAGCGCTCACACATTTTATCCCGCCTAGGAGAGTCATCTTAGACCTGGAAGGAGCCATCTTTTATTTCTTGTGAGCCGCCGAGTGGGAAAGTCTGACACGAAGTGTGATGAAGCTGAAGGAGAAAGGATGAAAAGGAGTGCCGGACCTGCACTTGTTTTTAGGAAGCACATACACGGCACTACACATCGCAACCGCCATAGCCCCATTCAGAAACCCCAAGACCGCGGCAATGACACGGTTCTGGATGAGGTCGTACCTCAGGAAAATTAAGTCGTACCTCAGGAAAATTAAGATTTTACCCACTAATCTCAAAGTACCGCAGGCTTGCATTCGGCGAGCCCTCAGCAGTTTGGTGCAACGTGAACAATCCTACTCTTCAAACAGACTCCGGGACCTGTCATGGATGGTGGCTCATGAGATCCTCCCAGTCAGGTCCGTAATGCACTACCGGGGCATGTCAGCGCACTCAACTTGCCCCCGACCAGGTTGTGGCGCGCCTGAGTCAGTAAGGCATCTGCTCTGGGAGTGCAGCGCTGCCGTAGAACGACCGGCTCCTTGCAATTCCCGTACTTGCCAGCAAGGGAGGTCCTCACACCACAGCTGGTGCTATATGGGGTGAGCCAAGGAAATCAGATACCAGCACGTACATTTGCCAAACAGTGGCTCACCCTAGCCGCCATCAAAGACGCCATATGGACCTCCAGAAACTTGCTGGCAAGAAAGCACATGCAGATCCCCCCCGTGGCTGTGATCCGGATGGCCGCAGCAACGGTCCAAACGGCCAGAGCTGCAGGCGGCGGGCCTAGGACACAGCCACAAAGAAGAATCGTCTCTGTGCCCATTCGGACGAAGGAGCCGGAGCCACACAAGGAAAGTTCAAGGCAGCGGCGGCCTGACCCTCCGGGTGAGGACGGTGGGAAGGAGCTACAGGATGAGGGTCTCCTCTGAGTGCCTCCACAGGATCCCGAGAGATCTAATCTGTTTGGGGGAGCAAAATAAGTTCCCCTTTGGTAGGGACTCACTACACTCCTTCACAACAGTGGACTTGAAAAGAGCTGTCATTATTCATTTATTTTTGTGAGTATTATTTTAACAAATGCACTCCGCTCTGAGACACTCACTGACATGGACAAGTTGAAAACCTTTTATACCTTTAATTTATGACTTTATCTCTAATGCATTTTTAAACACTTGTTGAAATGTTGTTTTACAGAGAACATTTATTTGTTGACAAATTTTATGAATCATGTTTGAATTGAGTGTCAAATTCTTTTCAAAAGAAAAAGAGAAAAATCTGTTCTTATGATGAGGAGTCGAGGACGTAGAAATTTGGGAAATGCGAAAGGCCCCTGGCCTAATCCCAGTGTCCCCCCTCACGGACTCACAGACTCTGAGGCGCGTTCCCGGGAAGTCCGTGAGGGCTCAGGGCCGTCCCATAAAATGCCGGTAAATCCGTGTTAAAAGAGAAGAAGAAGAAAAACGATAAACAAACAAGCATCGACAACTACACTGATGTTAAAATTGTTAGAATTTTTCTTAAGATGGAACACATGAAGTCAGAGGAAAAATTTACTTTACACACTTTAACGAGGCTGTTTTGACCAACAATAGTGCACTAATGATTATTGACAAATATTGACATTTACCTCTCGTCCACTCTGCAGGGCGAGAGCCTGCAGGACTTTCATGCAGATTGACCTCATCTCTAAATGATAATTTGACTTCATCCGAAACTGTAACCAGTGCACACTTTTCGGGGTAATCACATCTTCGTCAAATCGGTGAATCTCACCGTCCAACATTTCAGACTTGTGAGAGTCAGAACATGTTGGGTGTGGAAAGCAGTGAGTAATGTTTGCCAAGGTGTCTTCCTTTGTTGTGACAGTTTGGCTTTTCAGTATTAGTTTGTTCTTTTACAGGGGTGCCAGTCAGGTCTCTCACCTGAATCAGTGAGTCTGATTAAGAGTGGGTGTTTACGGGGCGGCGCAACCTAGTAGTTGCAGGTTGTCACAACTTGAGCAAAGTCATAATACTGGACAGACATCAAATGTTCTTTGAACTATGTTTTTACAAAAGCATTGTGAGACCTTAGGAAAATGATAGTGTTAATGTTGACTCACTACTTGTTAACAGTATGTCACACAGAGACGAAACCAGCAGACTGTAAAATTTATTGATCAAGTACAACCTCTTTATTTTACGTTAACAAAAACAAGCAAAAACTTTCATGGTTGAGTGATGCAATCTAAAACACATCAGCTGTTAAGGCTAGTGGTTACCAAAACTGAGTAATCCTTTTACATTTTACATGCAGTCTGTCAAATAATGCTGTTTGTACCATCACTGCTGTTTCCATCAGTTCATAACACTTCAATACTCCATTGTAGAGGTCATGAAAAACTACAACGTCAAATAGAGTACAGATCTGTTGAAATACAAAACAAAGAATTATCAATAGAAAATTTAAGTTAATTGTAAATGAACTACAATACACTCAGTGAATTCCTATGCTATTGTATAGTGTTTCGTGTTGTCACTTAAGTACTAAAGAGGTTTGTAAAAAACAATGACAGTAGACTCACGACCTGCCGGTGGGCAGACACTGTCCTGCTGGTAGACACTGGTGGTGATGGAGGCTCCTGAGCTGAAGATGCAGGGTTTCTGAGGCTGCTTGGTATTAAGGACTCCTACTTCAGCATGAACATACCAGCAAACCAGAAGAACTGAGAGCCATGAAAAATTACTTCCAGATGTAGTTGGTAATTAACTGTCAGGACACCTAACAAAATCAACATCAAACTCACCAACATACACAGCAGAGTCTAAAGAGTTTATGTTGGGCCTTCAGCTCAGTGATCTGACAGGACTTCAGTATTCAGAAAGGTTTACTTTCACCCTGACAGCAACCAGCTGAGATGTGTGACAGAGGTCGCCAAGGACTCCCAGAAAGCTTAGAGTGTGGGGTTGTCTCGTGAAAGATGTTGGGGTAGTCATGCTAAACCTTTGACAACCAATTTAAAAACTGGGGAATTAGTGAAAAAGAGATTGTAGTAAATGTTTTGTATCGCCGTATAATACATGACAGCAAGAAAAGACATTATTAGTATTATTATTATTATTATTACTGAAGAGTAAGAACAGTACATCTGATTTCATAGTCAGAAAACATCACCCACAGAAAAACGAATCTCTTCTTAAAAATGTGTACCATTCTTCAGTGTCCACCATCAAATAATTAAAACATTTCAGTGTCTCTTATTGTGAAAGTTTCCTTTCATTGTTGTTTCTGTGTATTATTTACATTTCAAGTGCATTTGTGTTGAATACTTTGGTCACCTAAGAACAACAGGTGGATGAAATGTCACTTTGAGCACTTTCATTAAATAAATATAAAGATCGAAGTTAACAGTCCAATACTTTGGGAAATGCTCCAACACGGAGAGATCCAGGACATGTTTAGCCTAGCGTAACACAAACACTGCTAGCCTCGCTCCATCAGAAGAATAGTCTGTCTGATTTCCATGTTATTACGTGGTGTATGTTGGTAACTGAACAGGTGTAGAAAAGGACATTTAAAAAGGAGACATTGTGGTTTTAGCAGCAACTAGGGTTGGAGCTACGTGTTGAACAACAACCGCGGAGTGCACCAGCTGAATGCACCTTCAGTAAAGTCCTGAACTCATGGTGGGGTGCGTGGTTTGAACTGTGTTCTAACTGTACTGTTAAATGAACTAGCTGACTACAGGACAGGCTGCTGACTAGTTAGCTGACAACACGTCAGTCAGTCAGACAGAACCTCTTCATAGAAAGTGGATTTGCTTTTGATCTTTGTGCTAAGCTAGGCTAATATAGCCCTCACTGTCCTGAAGGAAAATACAGGAACCGTCTGCTGCTCTGATTTTGTACAAATTCAGAAACCACAAGGATCACTCTAAACGATGTATTTATTCTTTACTATTACTGTATTCTTCAGTGTTACTGTATGATGTGCTAGAGTGTGACGTTATAAAGGACCGGTACTTTTAGTCTTACTGTACGATGTGCTAGAGTGTGACGTTATAAAGGACCGGTACCTTTAGTCTTACTGTACGATGTGCTAGAGTGTGACGTTATAAAGGACCGGTACCTTTAGTCTTACTTTACGATGTGCTAGAGTGTGACGTTATAAAGGACCGGTACCTTTAGTCTTACTGTACGATGTGCTAGAGTGTGACGTTATAAAGGACCGGTACCTTTAGTCTTACTTTACGATGTGGTAGAGTGTGACGTTATAAAGGACCGGTACCTTTAGTCTGACTGTACGATGTGCTAGAGTGTGACGTTATAAAGGACCGGTACCTTTAGTCTTACTTTACGATGTGCTAGAGTGTGACGTTATAAAGGACCGGTACCTTTAGTCTTACTTTACGATGTGCTAGAGTGTGACGTTATAAAGGACCGGTACCTTTAGTCTTACTTTACGATGTGCTAGAGTGTGACGTTATAAAGGACCGGTACCTTTAGTCTTACTTTACGATGTGCTAGAGTGTGACGTTATAAAGGACCGGTACCTTTAGTCTGACTGTACGATGTGCTAGAGTGTGACGTTATAAAGGACCGGTACCTTTAGTCTGACTGTACGATGTGCTAGAGTGTGACGTTATAAAGGACCGGTACCTTTAGTCTTACTTTACGATGTGCTAGAGTGTGACGTTATAAAGGACCGGTACCTTTAGTCTTACTTTACGATGTGCTAGAGTGTGACGTTATAAAGGACCGGTACCTTTAGTCTGACTGTACGATGTGCTAGAGTGTGACGTTATAAAGGACCGGTACCTTTAGTCTTACTTTACGATGTGCTAGAGTGTGACGTTATAAAGGACCGGTACCTTTAGTCTGACTGTACGATGTGGTAGAGTGTGACGTTATAAAGGACCGGTACCTTTAGTCTTACTTTACGATGTGCTAGAGTGTGACGTTATAAAGGACCGGTACCTTTAGTCTGACTGTACGATGTGCTAGAGTGTGACGTTATAAAGGACCGGTACTTTTAGTCTGACTGTACGATGTGCTAGAGTGTGACGTTATAAAGGACCGGTACTTTTAGTCTGACTGTACGATGTGCTAGAGTGTGACGTTATAAAGGACCGGTACTTTTAGTCTGACTGTACGATGTGCTAGAGTGTGACGTTATAAAGGACCGGTACTTTTAGTCTGACTGTACGATGTGCTAGAGTGTGACGTTATAAAGGACCGGTACCTTTAGTCTTACTTTACGATGTGCTAGAGTGTGACGTTATAAAGGACCGGTACCTTTAGTCTGACTGTATGATGTGCTAGAGTGTGACGTTATAAAGGACCGGTACTTTTAGTCTGACTGTACGATGTGGTAGAGTGTGACGTTATAAAGGACCGGTACTTTTAGTCTTACTGTACGATGTGCTAGAGTGTGACGTTATAAAGGACCGGTACTTTTAGTCTGACTGTACGATGTGGTAGAGTGTGACGTTATAAAGGACCGGTACTTTTAGTCTGACTGTACGATGTGGTAGAGTGTGACGTTATAAAGGACCGGTACTTTTAGTCTGACTGTACGATGTGGTAGAGTGTGACGTTATAAAGGACCGGTACTTTTAGTCTGACTGTACGATGTGGTAGAGTGTGACGTTATAAAGGACCGGTACCTTTAGTCTTACTGTACGATGTGGTAGAGTGTGACGTTATAAAGGACCGGTACTTTTAGTCTTACTGTATGATGTGCTAGAGTGTGACGTTATAAAGGACCGGTACTTTTAGTCTGACTGTACGATGTGGTAGAGTGTGACGTTATAAAGGACCGGTACTTTTAGTCTGACTGTACGATGTGGTAGAGTGTGACGTTATAAAGGACCGGTACTTTTAGTCTTACTGTACGATGTGGTAGAGTGTGACGTTATAAAGGACCGGTACCTTTAGTCTGACTGTATGATGTGCTAGAGTGTGACGTTATAAAGGACCGGTACCTTTAGTCTGACTGTACGATGTGGTAGAGTGTGACGTTATAAAGGACCGGTACCTTTAGTCTGACTGTACGATGTGGTAGAGTGTGACGTTATAAAGGACCGGTACTTTTAGTCTGACTGTACGATGTGGTAGAGTGTGACGTTATAAAGGACCGGTACTTTTAGTCTTACTGTATGATGTGGTAGAGTGTGACGTTATAAAGGACCGGTACTTTTAGTCTTACTGTATGATGTGGTAGAGTGTGACGTTATAAAGGACTTGGTGGCCGTTGTTCCAGGCGTACAGAGCTCTGTCTCTGGGATTATAGTCGAGCATAGACAGGTGGCTGTATTTATTAGTCAGAGGAATATCGATATACTCGTAGGTCGATGAATTGGTGGAGTATGCGTAGTACACTTTGGTCCCTCCAGAGTATCCATTCGTAACGTACAGTGTTCCACAGATCATGAAGGCCTCGCCGGCACTGCGTTTTGGGTGGTTGGTGGTCCAGCTGCGGATGATCTGCAGAGTATTTGGGTTTAACTGGCTGAGAACGATGTTTCCAGCGTTCTGATTAGTGGCGTAGACAGCCCAAAGTCCCCCCTCATCAACCATGAGGTCGATGTCTGAGTGCCCCCCCCAGGAGTAATGGTACATGTTGTTGTAGCCAGCGAAGTCGAGCTGTCTTGAGCGGCTGATGAGCGACGTGCTGAAGTCGAACTTGATGATGGTGTGACTCTGAAATTTGTTGAAGTAAATGGATCCATTATAGACTACCTGACCAGTGCCGGACCAGGGGTGAGGCAGGCGGTGAGAGGTGAAGTTATCTGTTGTCATGAAGTCATCCATTGACTGATACTCTCTAACAAAGCGGTTATTATGGTAACCATCCATGTACCACACCTGTAAATGAAGAAACCCCAAATAATTTGAAAAAAGATTTCAGTTCTGATATGACAGTGTTCCATAAAATATACAAGTAATGTTGCATGTTGTATTTAATACCCTTTGATCATCATGTTAAACTCTGTACTACTGAGGTACCAGCTGGAGAAGAGCTTCACTGTTAGCTAAAAGCAGCGCTATCTTCTGATCTTCTCAAGTCCAACACGTTTTTATTTTTGGCCTTTCTGCTTCCAGTTCCTGTTCCTTCCTAGTCTGAAAACCACAAATCATCTCAGTCCTATTTCAGTTCTGAGTAAATGTTGACTACAGGTTTTACTGTGGTTGAATAACCACATGACTAGCATTACTTATAATGTTAAAATATTTCCCCAATACTTGTGTGTGTGTGTCTTTGTTGGGGCCTTTAAATCCAATTGCCTTAACTTTCAGTTACTGCTTATTCTTCATTACCATGAACTTGCTGAATTTCAATAGCCAATATAGAGTCACAACAGAGGTTATCTCAGGGTAGTTTTCATATAGAGCAGGTCTAGGCCAGCACTTTTTAATATATATATTTATACTCCATTTTAATCTTGAAAAGCTATAAAGCTGCCCCTCTCCCCCTCCCTCTCTCTCTCCCTCTCTCTCTCTTTCCTCTCTCTCTCCCTCTCTTTCCTCTCTCTCTCCCCTCTCCCTCTCTCTCCTCTCTCCCTCTCTCTCTCCCTCTCCCTCTCTCTCCCTCTCTTTCCTCTCTCTCTCCCCTCTCCCTCTCTCTCCCTCTCTCTCCCCTCTCCCTCTCTCTCACATGCCATTCACTGGTCTTGTGCAGAGTTTTGCGTGCATGCCATGCTGCCGACAACTGCATGCACATCACGGTTCCTCGCGGGTCTATTTCAAGTAGAAAAAAACAATAAAATATTTTTAGTGTGTTTCATCAACGGTGATAAATTATCCAGCGAGGTGCAGACAACTCGGCCTGTGAAGCACCTGTGAAGCTGGAGTCTCTTCAGCAAGTGTTCTTCTGCTGCCGCTACACACATACACGCTAATCCTACACATGCGCGCTTAGGCTCAGTGTATAAATGTGACTGAATGGTGAATGCAGATGTAGTGTAAAAGCGCTTTGAGTGGTCAAAAAGACTAGAAAGGCTCTATACAAATACAGAGCATTTACAATTTAGCAAATATTTACGCACTTTAAAAATATTTATTGAAAGTTTTTTTCTTTTTACATGTTTATTTACATTGAAGTGTATGTTGTAACAGGCTGTATATTAACTTATTGGGAGAAAACTGGTAGTTCTATGTAAATTCAAACGTTGAGGACTCCCATATCACCAAAATGGCATGATCCTTGTTTCACTGCGAAGCTTTGACTGTGAGATTGACAGTTGAATCAGGGTCCGTCTATTGAAGCATCGAATCTTCGGCTATTTGGGGTTAGCCCAAATATATAAATACACCTAAACTTCTTGTGGAACTTTTGCTCCTAGGGGATACTTTTTTAAATGTATTATGTGGTTGGCAACGGGGCCTCAGGGGCCACCTTTTCCCTGAGGCCTGTGGAATCAGTACTGACACAATGTTTTTGTCATCACGATGTCATCACGATGGTCCATACAGTAACTGTATTATGGTGGTGTCATCTGAATCAAGGGTGTCGTATGCTGTGCGTTGTGCTATATAAATACAACTGTCTTGACTCGTCTCCAAGCTGAAATAAAACTGTTGTTGTATTCTTGTATTCTTGTATGTATTCTTGTTTTGAATGTTGCTGAGACTCACTCTGTTGTCTCCAGCTGGAGCGACTGGGTCAGTCATCCACGATCCAAACCTCGACCCTGACGTCTTGATGGTGATAGGCTCAGAGATTCCTGTCAGCTTCCCACAGGCTAAAACACACAGAGGAACATATGCAGCTACAGGGTGGACAAAACAACTGGAACCAGACAAAATCCAAATACACCCCAGATAGCAAGACTACATTGAATAAATATTGATTTTCCATCTGAATCATCAGAAGGGTTGAGATTGTTTATGAAGATTCTCAGTCATCCAGGTCATAGTTATCCAATGAAGGTTAAAATCAAGGGCAACTGGACTTGGTTGAAGATACTGGAAGACGGATGGTTTGAAAGAGGTGTCAAGGAAACATCTACACCAGGGTGGAGAAGCCGTCATTGAACAGGGGAGGGGGTCTACGCCACCACTTATCCCCCACTTACAATGCTGTCCTTTCATCACTTCCCAGGAAACTCAACAAACGTAACCTATTGGCCTCAGGTGAAGATACCAACGATGGTCGTTCAGTCTTGGCCTCAGGTGAAGATACCAACGATGGTCGTTCAGTCTTGGCCACAGGTAGTCTTAACGACTGTAACGACTGTCGTCACAGCAACCAGGAACACTAACGAACCAGCGGTATCGATGACCCGGGCCAACGACCCCACTGAGGTTAAATAGCTGAGTTTCCCTGCCAGTCAGTCAGAACTGAAGAAGTCCTTTGGATGAGGGACGAAATGTCTTCCAGTATCTTCAACCAAGTCCAGTTGCCCTTGATTTTAACCTTCGTTGAATAAATAAATGATGAATCAGTATTGCAATACCGATGAAAAACGACCATGTATGAGCATGACATTGGAATAATATTGATTTATAGTTGTCCCAATTATACTTGATTTAGCATTGATTTGTAGTTGACTTGGTAACAACAACAATGTTGAAAAGTCATCTATTTATAGTTGACCAGAAATTACGTGATATTGAAAAGTCACTGATATTGATTTACTAGTCACTGAAATATAGTTGACCGGGAAACATGATTGAAAAGTCATCTATTTATAGTTGACCGGGAAACATGATTGAAAAGTCATTGAATTATAATTGACCGGGAAATATGATTGAAAAGTCATTGAATTGTAGTTGACCGGGAAACATGATTGAAAAGTCATTGAATTGTAGTTGACCGGGAAACATGATTGAAAAGTCATCTATTTATAGTTGACCGGGAAACATGATTGAAAAGTCATTGAATTGTAGTTGACCGGGAAACATGATTGAAAAGTCATCTATTTATAGTTGACCGGGAAACATGATTGAAAAGTCATTGAATTGTAGTTGACCGGGAAACATGATTGAAAAGTCATCTATTTATATTTGACCGGAAAAATGACGTGACATTGAAAAGCCATGGATTTATAGTTGACCGGGAAATATGATTGAAAAGTCATTGAATTGTAGTTGACCGGGAAACATAATTGAAAAGTCATTGAATTGTAGTTGAACAGGAAACATGATTGAAAAGTCATTGACTTATAGTTGACCGGGAAACATGATTGAAAAGTCATCTATTTATAGTTGACCGGGAAACATGATTGAAAAGTCATTGAACTGTAGTTGACCGGGAAACATGATTGAAAAGTCATCTATTTATAGTTGACCGGGAAACATGATTGAAAAGTCATTGAATTATAATTGACCGGGAAATATGATTGAAAAGTCATCTATTTATAGTTGACCGGGAAACATGATTAAAAAGTCATTGAATTATAATTGACCGGGAAATATGATTGAAAAGTCTTTGAATTATAGTTGACCGGGAAACATGATTGAAAAGTCATTGAATTGTAGTTGACCGGGAAACATGATTGAAAAGTCATCTATTTATAGTTGACCGGGAAACATGATTGAAAAGTCATTGAATTATAATTGACCGGGAAATATGATTGAAAAGTCATCTATTTATAGTTGACCGGGAAACATGATTAAAAAGTCATTGAATTATAATTGACCGGGAAATATGATTGAAAAGTCTTTGAATTATAGTTGACCGGGAAACATGATTGAAAAGTCATTGCATTGTAGTTGACCGGGAAACATGATTGAAAAGTCATTGAATTATAGTTGACTGGGAAACATGATTGAAAAGTCATTGAATTGTAGTTGACCGGGAAACATGATTGAAAAGTCATCTATTTATATTTGACCGGAAAAATGACGTGACATTGAAAAGCCATGGATTTATAGTTGACCGGGAAATATGATTGAAAAGTCATTGAATTGTAGTTGACCGGGAAACATAATTGAAAAGTCATTGAATTGTAGTTGAACAGGAAAAATGATTGAAAAGTCATTGAATTGTAGTTGAACAGGAAACATGATTGAAAAGTCATTGACTTATAGTTGTCCGGGAAACAGGATTGAAAAGTCATTTCAGTATTGTTGACCGGGAGACCATCGTTTGGTGGATCAATGTTCCTGAACTCCACACATGTCACAAGTCCACATCAGTTAAGCACATATTTATTTATCTAATTTATAGATAGATAGATCATTTATTTATCTATCTAAAGTTTAATTGTACCAAATTTGTAGACATTCATCGTTTATTGACATTGTCTAACATTATATGCAGTCATAGACAAGTGTTTCAATACCATTTTATACTTACAAATCGCACAAGATCCAAGCTCAAGCTAAGTTATTTTGCTAGCTTAACTGCTAACTTTATCACCAGAAGATAATTTCCTGTACAGGACTGCAAGTCATGATAATAACTGTATTTTATCTTTGCTCAGATTTCGAGTGCTTTGCAAAATATACACACACCTTTCTCTTGCTCGTAACTGATCCTAGCTAATGCCCCTGCCATTTAACATTAAATAAGCCAGCTAACAACTTTTAGCCTCCAGGTTCAATCTATGACTGCATTTAATGTTAGACAATTTAAATTACATTAAACTATAAACATCAGTGGATTCCACCACATCCAGGCAGTCTACATCTACAATAAACAGACGAATCTGTAACGTTAGTGAATTCAGGTAGGTTAACTGTTAGGCTGTGCCGAATATAATATCTATTTAATAATATAGCGCCAATTCAGCCTGACTGACATTGTTCATCTTAACATCATTTTCACTACTGAAAGTTATTTTGTTTGTATGTTTTCTGTTATAGATGCCCTGACTGAACCAATGGGGACAGAAGTCTTTGACTTTGCCCAGGCAGCATAAAAATGGCTTCCTATGCTCCAGACCGGATGGGTGGACAGAGCAGAGCAGGAGTAAAGAATCATTTTTTTATTCTATAAATAAACTTGTATTTTTTAACTGATTAAATTTTCTGTTGTCATTTATACATTTTTAATATATTATGGTCTCTTTTCTATGGTTTAATATTGGTTGAAATAGATTTTTAGTTAGCTATGATTTCAATGTTGTTTCAATAGCAATATTGGTTGAAACAGCATTGAAGTCACATTGATTTTTAGTTATTATTAAAAAAAACGGTGCAAAATGATGATGAATCAATATCAGAGTCTGATGTTGATTCAGTGAAATTAGCGTTGAGAGCAGAAAGCTGATTCAACATAGTTTCAATAATGATTGCCTACTGGGACAGGAAAACAGCAGGAAAGGCTGGAATGCTCGACAGAGAGACAAAGACGAACTGGCAACAGCCTGGAAACTGTTTTCTGAGGGACTGCTGTCTACTGAACAAACAGGCCCTATAAGAACTCTGTTGAAGGTGAGAGTCTTTTCCAGTGGAACCCTGTCGTGTACTTGTCTGGTTTGTTCTGTGTTTCGTCTGCACTTGCCCAGTATGACTCATGTTTTCCCCCAAGTTGTTGTTTGTTTATTCCCCTGTTGTTTACTCACCCAGCCTCTGCATACAGGACCTCAACCGGTCCTCCAGGCTCATCACTCGGCTGTGGAGCTCCTGGTAGTCCAGACCTCCCAGCTGTTCCTGCAGCGAACCCAGCAGCTCTGTTACATTCGCTGCCTCCTCCTTAAACTGTCGGACCAGCAGAGCATCCGCCTTGTAGGTCTCCAGGACCGGGATCAGAGGACGCAACTCCTCCATCTTTGCTTTGATGGACTGCCAGACAGAAAACAGAGATCAGTTCCTGTCTAGGTCAGACATTACCAGATGTCCTCTCAACAGTCAGCCTTCACATGGTGGTCTGAGCTTCAGATGTTAATTTTTTTTTTATTTAACCTTTATTTAACCAGGAAGTCCCATTGAGATTCAGAATCTCTTTTACAAGAGAGACCTGGCCAAGGTAGCAGCCAAATCACAACAAATGCATACATAATAAACACCAAGTTACATTTTCATGATAAAAGAAGTACAAAATGTTAAAAAAAAACACAATGAGACTCTCAAGAAAAACAAGAACATGTCTCCATCACAACATTCTTTACAGTAGTTTTAAATTAATTAATGGACATAAGGGTTTCTAACTTTAGCTCTTTCTGTAGATTATTCCACCCCCAAGGTGCTGAATAAGAGAAAGCAGTTCTTCCCAATTCGGTTGCAACTCGTGGTACGTTAAAAAGCAACCACTTTGAGGAGCGTAGCTGATAGGTACCAGAGCAGACAGAGAGGAGGTTACAGAGGTACAGTGGAAGTTTCCCAAGTATAGCTTTATAAATAAAGATATACCAGTGCTGTTGTCTACGAATTTTAAGTGATGTCCAACCAACTAAATCATAAAGAATGCAGTGATGAGTGAGGGACTTTGTATTTGTTATGAATCGTAGTGATGCATGGTAAACTGAATCAACATGACGCAAGATGGAAGATGCAGCATGCATGTACAATATATCTCCATAATCAATTACAGACAGAAAAGTAGCTTCCACAAATTTCTTCTTAGCACTAAAAGTAAAACAAGATTTGTTTCTGAAATAAAAGCCAAGCTTGACTTTAAGTTTCTTGACTAAAGCAGTAATATGTTCATTGAAGGAGAGCTTATCATCTATCCATATCCCCAAGTACTTGTATGTAGACACTCTCTCAGTTGATTTCCCATCTAAGGACTAGAGGCCACAGTTGTCAAGTAGCTGTGCTCGAGTTTTTGAGAAGACCATAAACGTTGTTTTCTGTGTATTTAAAACCAGTTTAAGACTCAATAATGTATTTTGCAATGCCTGAAATGCAGTCTGAAGTTCCTGCACTGTTACTGAAATGGTGGAAGCCTGGGTGTAAACCACTGTATCATCAGCGTATAAATGTAATTTGGCTTGAACATCTCTATCCAAATCATTTATAAAAATTGAAAACATAATGGGTCCTAAGATTGATCCTTGAGGGACACCTTTGGTTATCTCAAGAAAATCAGATTTATAACGTTCAGCATAAACACATTGAGTACGATCTACAAGATAATTTTGGAACCATGCAGCAGCCTTTGCACTTAAACCAACTGAACGTAGTTTGGTCAATAACAATCCATGATCAGCTGAATCAAATGCCTTGGAAAGATCAACAAATAATGCAGCAGAGTGTTGCTTCTTATCTAAGGCCCCAATAATATATATTGTCACTAATGCAGCAGCAGTGATAGTGCTATGGCCACTTCTGAACCCTGACTGAAAATTATTTAAAATGTTTTTGTCAGCTAAATACTGTTTTAACTGTACTGATGGGTCTCCACCTTTATGTAAAGGGAGGACATAGGCTGCTTTCCAACTTTTGGGAATGGAGTTGGAAAGAAGACTCAAAAATATGCGCTACGGGCTCAGCAATAATATCAGCTGACACTTTTAACAGAAAGGGATCCAGATTATCTGGACCTGCAGACTTTTTGTGATCAATGTCTCTGAGGGCTTTATGAACTTCTGACACTGAAATCGGTTTAAAATTAAAGTATTCCCGATTTACATTTTCAGATGCTGACATGGCAGGACATGGGACAGATTTATTTACGGTTTGATCAAATATGAATCCAGCCTGAATAAAGTGTTTATTAAACTGATTGACTATAGCTGCTTTGTCTTTTATTTCATCTGAACCAATGAGAATCTGTTCAGGGAGGTTTGAGGTCACACGTGCACCTGACAAAGATTTAACTGATTTCCAAAACTTTAAAGGGTTGTTTAAGTTTTCTGTGATTGACTTCAAATAAAACTCAGATTTGGACTTTCTAATCATCAAAGTACACTTGTTTCTTACAGTTCTAAATGCAGTCCAATCAGCAGAAGAGTTGGAGAATCTAGCTTGTGCCCACATTTTATTTCTCAAACAGATTAGCTCTGATAGGCTGTCTGAGAACCAAGGGTTGTCCTTACCACTGATCCTAAACTTTGTGATTGGTACATGTTTATTTACAATGGAAATGAAATTTGAATGAAAAAAATCCCATACCATTTCAGCATCTGAAAACAAAGACACCCTGCTGAGATCCATGTGATACAGATCATGCAGAAAAGCCTGTTGTTCAAAACTTTTAAAATGTCTTTTTAGGATGATGCACGGTTTTACCTTGGGGATTTTTGTATTTCTTACACAAGCGACTGCACAATGGTCACTGACATCATTACAAAATACGGCAGTTGAGGTATATTTATGAACTGAATTTGTTATGATTAAATCAAGGAGAGTAGATTTTATTTCTGCTTTGGGATTTATTCTTGTTGGTTCATTAATAAGTTTAGGTCATTACATAAGTCTTTAAAACAATCAGAGTTCCCAGAAAGCCAGTCCCAATTCATATCACCCATAAGAATAAATTCAGAGTCATTAATTTCATGTAATATTTCGGATATAGATTGGAAAGCATCCTTTGAGGCAGATGGAGGTCTATAGCACCCAACTACTGTAATATCTGTCTTTTGAGATATTCACTTTCACGGTCAGAATTTCAAACTGTTTAGCTTTAGTTAGTGACAGGGTTACAGAGCTTATAAACTTAGATTTCACATATATGGCAACCCCACCTCCTTTGACCACCCGGTCAGTTCTATAAACTTTATAACCCTCAATAGAAATAAGTTAATCAGATACAGATTTTTTAAGCCAGATTTCAGAGATAATAATGATATCAGCATCGGTTGTATTAGCCCAGATCTTGATCATATCCATTTTAGGGACAAGGCTTCTAACATTTAAATGTATAAAACCAAGGCCATGTCTGCTTTTGAAATCTGAAGGAGTGACTAAGGAGTGACAAGTGTTAGGAGGACCGGGAACAGGACCAGGATTGGGCTGAATATTACCAGATAACATCAATAAAAGCATAATCATACAACGTAGTTTTTGTTTGGCTGGGTAATATTTGTCATTACCACTGTCCTCTATGAACTGAGAAAAAGAGTAATCTGAGACAATAAAATAGTCATTTAACAGTAGGTTCTGGAGATACAGGGTCTTCTTAACTTGTGAACAGTTTTTTTGGTTACACAGGTTGATTTTCTGGCGGTATATCTCATAATGACTTGTAGATGAAGTTGAGAAATGACCATAGTTTAACTGTATTAATATACTGCTTCTCATTTTGGGCATATTAAGTTCATCTAGTACAGGGCTGGACTGTATAAGTATGAAGAGTATAAACAAATGCATGATGTCAAGTTACCAGGTTTAGTTGAAGACAGCCTTAACAGGGGTGAACAGTAGCTTGGAGACAAAAAGTCAGGGCTACAGGATGGAGGCTAGCAGAGAGGCTTCCAGGTGATAGCTAGCAAGCAGGGCTAATAGCAGCAGGCTAGGAGTAGGGCTATCAGTAGCAGGCTAGCAGCAGGGCATCCAGGTGGTGGCTAGCTAGTGGGGCTAGCAGCAGAGCATCCAGGTGGTGGCTAGCAAGTGGGGCTAGCAGCAGGGCATCCGGGAGGTGGCTAGCAAGTGGGGCTAGAAGCAGGACATCCAGGTGGTAGCTAGTAAGGGCAGCTAGCAGCAGGGCATCCAGGTGGTGGCTACCAAGTAGGGCTTGCAGCAGGGCATCCAGGTGGAGGCTAGCAAGCAGGGCAACCAGCAACAGGCTATCAGCAGGGCATCCAGGTGGTGGCTAGCAAGCAGGGCAACCAGCAACAGGCTATCAGCAGGGCATCCAGGTGGTGGCTAGCAAGCAGGGCTATCAGCAGCAGGCTAAGAAGCAGGGCTACCGACAGCAGGCTAGCAGCAGAGCTACAAGTAGCAGGGCAGCAGCAGGGCATCCAGCAGGTGGCTAGCAAGCAGGGCTACGAGCAACAGGCTAGCAGCAGGGCATCCAGGTGGTGGCTAGCAAGCAGGGGCTACCGACAGCAGGCTAGCAGCAGGGCTACCAGTAGCAGGGTAGAAGCAGGGCATCCAGGAGGCGGCTAGTAAGCAGGGCTACCAGGTGGTGGCTAGAAGCAAGGCTACTGACAGCAGGCTAGCAGCAGGGATACCAGTAGCAGGCTAGCAGCAGGACATGCAGGTGGTGGCTAGCAACAGGGCCACCAGCAGCAGGCTAGCAATAGGTCATGCAGGTGGTGACTAGCAGCAGGGCTAGCTGCAGCAGGCTAACAAGCAGGGCTACCTGTAGCAGGCTACTAGCAGGGCATCCAGGTGGTAGCTAGCAAGCAGGGCTACCAGGTGGTCAATGTCCAGGTTTTAAGTTCAAATTCAGCCTTATCCACAATTAAAATAATCCCAGTATGGAGGAGAATGTCTTGTTTTTCGGGAGTATACTCATTTGAGTTTAAAAGACATAAAACATCACAAGAAAAACCTAAAATCTTGAGATCTCAAACACTGAGATCCACACATAGATGTGGCTTGGCTGTTCATAGATTAATGACTAATTTTTGGATAATAGACTTTGTAACAGTGCTCAGATCAGTTTTGTCCGATGCTGTAAATCATGAGCACTAATGAACCTGTTCACACTGACAGCCACCGTTTCTACACAGATCGCTTAGCATCACAGGATGTGTTCAGGTCCACTTTTCAAAGCATGTTACACTATCACTTAAGTTACATACATAAAAGCAAAGAAAATAGACTTGAAGCGTAAAAGCAAATGATGTGTGTAGACAGCTGCGTTTAGGAGCGTATCTTTCTCTGTGGACATCTCAAAAATACTTGTTTCGTATGTCTCAGCTATGAAAGGCAATGCATCATAGTTCATCATAGTTCACAGGGAGCTTTGCTGAGCTGTTGATTGGCAGTTTAAGGCACAATGTCATGACGTGGGAGGTACCTTATACTGTCTGGCGATGTTGCTCTCATGTCCGTCTTCCACCTGTTGGAATTTATTTTCCAGACCCTTCAGCTGAATTTCCATTTTCTCTACAAACTGCAGATCTCTCTGAGTCCGCTGGTCCAGAACCTCAATGGACTGACTCATATTCTGGACCTGAGTGAAACAAACACACAATGCATAATACAGTGTGTACATATACATATATATGTATATAATATATTATATATTACCGCTACTACTACTCTACTACTAATATACCTTTATAATAAACATCATACTTAATCTGATAATACCAGAATCAGTTGTACAGTTAGGGCCCGTGTCCACCAAAGTGTTTTTTGCCAGCTGAAAACGCCCAGCATGGAGCGCTAGCGGGCACTGCGCAGCGTTTTCTCCGACTGCTTTGGTTGCTATGATACATCTGTTGCAAGTAGTTCTAGCTGACTTTACTGGATGTAAAAATGTCAACACAGAGTAGAGTCCTCGCTCTGTATGAAGGGAAGGCTGAAGCAGGCAGAGAGAGGACGCACTCGCCGTATGTTGGTTCATGAGATTTTGTGGGCGAAGAAGTCTCTCGGCGAGTACCACCGTTTAGTCCAAGAGCTGAGGTTCGACGAAGCCTGGTTCCAGGATAGTAACCGTTGCCACGGTGTAGTATTTGTCCCGCCCCTCCTCTACTGTGATTGGACAGCTGGGTAAAAAGTGACAGTGACGAGCGCAGCGTTTTTCCCAAAGTTGAACATTTTTCAACTCTCGCCGACCAGAAAGAAACGCTCAGCGCCTCGTCACGCTGCTAGCGTTTTTACCAGCTCGTAAAAATGCGGCGCTCCCATTGCAATGAACTGAAAAAAGACTCTGGCGTCAGAAAAAAACGCTTTGGTGGACACAGGCCTTTAGCACAGTTCATACGCTGCACCTGGACAGGTTAACACATATATAAACTTCTGGGGACTACCCGGGACATTTGAACCTTTCTGAGCCCTGTCTGCATTTTGTGTGTATGAGTGTTTAGCTAGATAAAGCCACACTAATGGTGGCTTGATTGTAGCCATTTTCTCTTAGCACTGCTTTTGGCGAACATAATTGGTCATGCTGTCACTGCCGACAGCTCCCCTGGAGTTTTGTTGTTCTCATACACAAGAGATGGCCTCTTGTCACTCTGGTGGTCTTGTAGACACCATCAGAGCTCAGCTCACCAAGAACAGACAGCGGTCACACAGCGAGTCTGGTGGCATGGGCATAGGCCTCCCCTGACAGCAATATTAGATCACTGAAAATAAAATTGAGGAGCTACGCAATAACGCCAGGATCTGTTACTAGTTCCGGGAAGCGATCACCACGGCTTCACTCGGACACTGTCAGCTCTCTGGGTTAGGCTTTTCCCTAACCCGTGCAGACACAACAGCAGCTCCAGGAAAAGGTTGAGGTGGCGGTCTCTGTGTGTATGTGAAGGATAAGTGATGCCATCAGGCTACAGAAAGAGCGCAGGTCTGTAATCATGTGAACTGCTGTGCTTATATTAGAGCATATAGAACATTTGTCTTTTATAACAATAGAAGTTTTTGTTATGGGAAAGTACAAAGTGCCTACACTGCTAGACCAAGGCCCCAAAAAAGTGTATTTAATCCCAATTTTTAAGACAGCTGTGAAGAGCAGAAAACCAAGGAACAAAAGAGCAGCGGTGAGATGACAGTGAGGAATCGTTGCACGCCTCTTTTCTCTACACTGACTTCAATGTCTTCCATAACCACTGAGGTAATAACAGACTATACACATTTTTGCACTGACAGTGTGGTGGCCAAAAAGGAAGTTGTTGTTCTATCTAAATAACAAACTTTACACAATAAAAGGCTGCGTTAACATGAAGAATTGCACAGAGTAAAGTTGAAAGGACTTTACTCAGTCTTTTCTTCTATGAAACTGTAAGTAAGGCAAATATGGATTTACAAATCAACATAAACACTTCTTACTTAGATAAAGGTTAACATGTTACATGCCAGCATATTTTTTTTTAGCAAACAGCCTCTGCTTAGTTCAGTTCATTTTCCCATTTGATTTATTGCTATATTTAATATTATCACCATACCCATCAATACTAAAATTGCCAGTAGTATAATAATCATTAGTAGTATTTCATACCTTCTCAAGCAGCTGTCTGAGCTGTTTGGTTCGGGCGTCTCTGGAGCAGACGGTCTGCTGAGGAGCGACAACTGTACAAACACATCGACCTTCAGAGTCCTGAGCTGAACTGTACACCTGCCAGCCCTCCTCAGGGGTAGAAGGACCCACCTATCCGACAGGAAATCACAGCACAACCATGGAAAAAAGATTCATTATCTTAACAACTGCAGTGCAGAGTTGTGTTTACAGTCAGATAGTAAAATATATCATTCAATCAAAGGGAGAGAGAAGAGTGGTTCAAACTTTAAACATGTCAATCCTGCTCAGAGGCAGACAGATTTAATCTTGTTCTGCTGAAGAAATTTTTTAAATTAAATTGAAATCAGCAGGATATAGTTTGTCCTGCATTATTTGTGTATGCTGCCCTGTGCAGACTGAACAGTCACATTATCTGTATTGTAAGGGATAGACGTGTTATCAGTTCCATGTTAAACTCAAGGGATTTATAGTGTTCAGAGATATAAGAACCATGTGAGATACCTAGAGAATGTATTTTAGTGTTATATTTTTTAACTACTGTTTCCATCATGCTTTGAGTGACGTACACAGGAAAAAAATGTTCATGAAAAAACTGCGACAGACTCAGATTATAGTATATCTAGAGGATATCTGGCATGTGGACACTGGGGATCCGACGAGGAGCTGAGACGGATGGATGATGCATAAAATAACCAAACGTGTTAAATACGTGTTAAAATTACCAAATGTGTTAAATATGTGTTAAAATACGAACACTGTTCTTCCTCTGTCTTTATTATTCAGTCTTTTAATTAATTATAACTCAGTCCAATCACATAAAAACATTATTTCAAACATGTTGGTTTCTCTCTTTTGGATTGGCCAAAATAATGATTCATGTACCCATGACGCTTAAGAAAATATTTTATCAAACTTCTTGATGCATCCGAATGACAGGACATTAATTAAACATCTTAAACATATTAATGATGTCAAATCTTCAAAATATAAAGACAAAACTGTTCATCTACGAGAAACTTCAGTGATTGGTCAGACACCAGGTGGGACAACACAAGGCGCTCGAAGGACTTCATTACCACAGAGGTCAGGGCGACGGGTCTGAAGCCATTTAGTTCCGTGGTCCTTGTGTTTTTGGGGACAGGGATGATGGTGGAGGCTTTGAAGCAGACTGGCACATGGCATGTCTCCAGTGAAAATAGATTGCCAAGCATCATCAAAATGTGCGGGAAAATTTCAGGCACAAGTTTGGACAACCTCCCGTATTTAGATAAGGTTCAGACACTAGCCACCTTCTGTTTGAGGAGTTTACGTTTTACAAGTTTACGTTTACTCCCAGGTCCGACTCTGCAATTGACTCCTGTGTTGCAGCAAAGCTTCCCCCACCGCCACTTGTGGAGCTCCTCCTACTCCGAAAGCTTGTGAGCACATTTTTGATGCGCCATCACTTTTGGCAAAAATGTCAGTATTTGACATCTACACGTTTGATTTCTTGCCTCAAAACTTCTCAGAAGTGGATTTAATGATGAAAGAGTGTAGGAAACTTGTAAAAGACGTTCTGCTGTTGGCCTTTCCCTCTGCTGCTTCCCACTGTCCCGTGTTCTTGGAAGTATGGAAGTGCGCAAATTGAGAGCACTGCTGTCCTGTCGCAGCCTCTAGTCTTGCTGTCCTGTCGCAGCCTCCAGTCTTGCTGTCCTGTCGCAGCCTCTAGTCCTGCTGTCCTGTCGCAGCCTCTAGTCTTGCTGTCCTGTCGCCAGCCTCTAGTCTTGCTGTCCTGTCGCAGCCCCCAGTCCTCCAGTTCTGTCGCCAGCCTCTAGTCTTGCTGTCCTGTCACAGCCTCTAGTCCTGCTGTCCTGTCGCAGCCCCCAGTCCTCCAGTTCTGTCGCCAGCCTCTAGTCTTGCTGTCCTGTCACAGCCTCTAGTCTTGCTGTCCTGTCGCAGCCCCCAGTCCTCCAGTTCTGTCGCCAGCCTCTAGTCTTGCTGTCCTGTCACAGCCCCCAGTCCTCCAGTTCTGTCGCCAGCCTCTAGTCTTGCTGTCCTGTCACAGCCTCTAGTCTTGCTGTCCTGTCACAGCCTCTAGTCCTGCTGTCCTGTCACAGCCTCTAGTCTTGCTGTCCTGTCGCAGCCCCCAGTCCTCCAGTTCTGTCGCCAGCCTCTAGTCTTGCTGTCCTGTCACAGCCTCTAGTCTTGCTGTCCTGTCGCAGCCTCTAGTCTTGCTGTCCTGTCGCAGCCCCCAGTCCTCCAGTTCTGTCGCCAGCCTCTAGTCTTGCTGTCCTGTCACAGCCTCTAGTCTTGCTGTCCTGTCCCAGCCTCTAGTCTTGCTGTCCTGTCGCAGCCCCCAGTCCTCCAGTTCTGTCGCCAGCCTCTAGTCTTGCTGTCCTGTCACAGCCTCTAGTCCTGCTGTCCTGTCGCAGCCCCCAGTCCTCCAGTTCTGTCGCCAGCCTCTAGTCTTGCTGTCCTGTCACAGCCTCTAGTCTTGCTGTCCTGTCGCAGCCCCCAGTCCTCCAGTTCTGTCGCCAGCCTCTAGTCCTGCTGTCCTGTCGCAGCCTCTAGTCTTGCTGTCCTGTCGCAGCCTCTAGTCTTGCTGTCCTGTCGCAGCCTCTAGTCCTCCAGTTCTGTCGCCAGCCTCTAGTCTTGCTGTCCTGTCGCAGCCTCTAGTCTTGCTGTCCTGTCACAGCCTCTAGTCTTGCTGTCCTGTCGCAGCCCCCAGTCCTCCAGTTCTGTCGCCAGCCTCTAGTCTTGCTGTCCTGTCACAGCCTCTAGTCTTGCTGTCCTGTCACAGCCTCTAGTCTTGCTGTCCTGTCGCAGCCCCCAGTCCTCCAGTTCTGTCGCCAGCCTCTAGTCTTGCTGTCCTGTCACAGCCTCTAGTCTTGCTGTCCTGTCGCAGCCCCCAGTCCTCCAGTTCTGTCGCCAGCCTCTAGTCTTGCTGTCCTGTCGCAGCCCCCAGTCCTCCAGTTCTGTCGCCAGCCTCTAGTCTTGCTGTCCTGTCGCAGCCCCCAGTCCTCCAGTTCTGTCGCCAGCCTCTAGTCTTGCTGTCCTGTCGCAGCCCCCAGTCCTCCAGTTCTGTCGCCAGCCTCTAGTCTTGCTGTCCTGTCGCAGCCCCCAGTCCTCCAGTTCTGTCGCCAGCCTCTAGTCTTGCTGTCCTGTCGCAGCCTCTAGTCTTGCTGTCCTGTCACAGCCTCTAGTCTTGCTGTCCTGTCACAGCCTCTAGTCTTGCTGTCCTGTCACAGCCTCTAGTCTTGCTGTCCTGTCGCAGCCCCCAGTCCTCCAGTTCTGTCGCCAGCCTCTAGTCTTGCTGTCCTGTCGCAGCCCCCAGTCCTCCAGTTCTGTCGCCAGCCTCTAGTCTTGCTGTCCTGTCGCAGCCCCCAGTCCTCCAGTTCTGTCGCAGCCTCTAGTCTTGCTGTCCTGTCGCAGCCCCCAGTCCTCCAGTTCTGTCGCCAGCCTCTAGTCCTGCTGTCCTGTCACAGCCTCTAGTCTTGCTGTCCTGTCGCAGCCTCTAGTCCTGCTGTCCTGTCGCAGCCCCCAGTCCTCCAGTTCTGTCGCCAGCCTCTAGTCCTGCTGTCCTGTCGCAGCCTCTAGTCTTGCTGTCCTGTCGCAGCCTCTAGTCCTGCTGTCCTGTCGCAGCCCCCAGTCCTCCAGTTCTGTCGCCAGCCTCTAGTCTTGCTGTCCTGTCACAGCCTCTAGTCTTGCTGTCCTGTCACAGCCTCTGGTCCTGCTGTCCTGTCGCAGCCCCCAGTCCTCCAGTTCTGTCGCCAGCCTCTAGTCTTGCTGTCCTGTCACAGCCTCTAGTCTTGCTGTCCTGTCGCAGCCCCCAGTCCTCCAGTTCTGTCGCCAGCCTCTAGTCCTGCTGTCCTGTCACAGCCTCTAGTCTTGCTGTCCTGTCACAGCCTCTAGTCCTGCTGTCCTGTCGCAGCCTCTAGTCCTCCAGTTCTGTCGCCAGCCTCTAGTCTTGCTGTCCCGTCACAGCCTCTAGTCTTGCTGTCCCGTCACAGCCTCTAGTCTTGCTGTCCTGTCGCAGCCCCCAGTCCTCCAGTTCTGTCGCCAGCCTCTAGTCTTGCTGTCCTGTCACAGCCTCTAGTCTTGCTGTCCTGTCACAGCCTCTAGTCTTGCTGTCCTGTCGCAGCCCCCAGTCCTCCAGTTCTGTCGCCAGCCTCTAGTCTTGCTGTCCTGTCGCAGCCTCTAGTCTTGCTGTCCTGTCGCAGCCCCCAGTCCTCCAGTTCTGTCGCCAGCCTCTAGTCTTGCTGTCCTGTCGCAGCCCCCAGTCCTCCAGTTCTGTCGCAGCCTCTAGTCTTGCTGTCCTGTCGCAGCCTCTAGTCTTGCTGTCCTGTCACAGCCCCCAGTCCTCCAGTTCTGTCGCCAGCCTCTAGTCTTGCTGTCCTGTCGCAGCCTCTAGTCTTGCTGTCCTGTCGCAGCCCCCAGTCCTCCAGTTCTGTCGCCAGCCTCTAGTCCTGCTGTCCTGTCGCAGCCCCCAGTCCTCCAGTTCTGTCGCCAGCCTCTAGTCTTGCTGTCCTGTCGCAGCCCCCAGTCCTCCAGTTCTGTCGCCAGCCTCTAGTCTTGCTGTCCTGTCGCAGCCCCCAGTCCTCCAGTTCTGTCGCCAGCCCCCAGTCCTCCAGTTCTGTCGCCAGCCTCTAGTCTTGCTGTCCTGTCGCAGCCTCTAGTCTTGCTGTCCTGTCGCAGCCTCTAGTCTTGCTGTCCTGTCGCAGCCTCTAGTCTTGCTGTCCTGTCACAGCCTCCAGTCCTGCTGTCCTGTCGCCAGCCTCTAGTCTTGCTGTCCTGTCGCAGCCCCCAGTCCTCCAGTTCTGTCGCCAGCCTCTAGTCTTGCTGTCCTGTCGCAGCCCCCAGTCCTCCAGTTCTGTCGCCAGCCTCTAGTCTTGCTGTCCTGTCGCAGCCTCCAGTCCTGCTGTCCTGTCGCAGCCCCCAGTCCTCCAGTTCTGTCGCAGCCTCTAGTCTTGCTGTCCTGTCGCAGCCTCTAGTCTTGCTGTCCTGTCGCAGCCTCTAGTCTTGCTGTCCTGTCACAGCCCCCAGTCCTCCAGTTCTGTCGCCAGCCTCTAGTCTTGCTGTCCTGTCGCAGCCTCCAGTCCTGCTGTCCTGTCGCAGCCTCCAGTCCTGCTGTCCTGTCACAGCCTCTAGTCTTGCTGTCCTGTCACAGCCTCTAGTCCTCCAGTTCTGTCGCAGCCTCTAGTCTTGCTGTCCTGTCACAGCCTCTAGTCTTGCTGTCCTGTCCCAGCCTCTAGTCCTGCTGTCCTGTCGCAGCCTCTAGTCTTGCTGTCCTGTCACAGCCTCTAGTCTTGCTGTCCTGTCGCAGCCCCCAGTCCTCCAGTTCTGTCGCCAGCCTCTAGTCTTGCTGTCCTGTCGCAGCCCCCAGTCCTCCAGTTCTGTCGCCAGCCTCTAGTCCTGCTGTCCTGTCGCAGCCTCCAGTCCTGCTGTCCTGTCACAGCCTCTAGTCTTGCTGTCCTGTCGCAGCCCCCAGTCCTCCAGTTCTGTCGCCAGCCTCTAGTCTTGCTGTCCTGTCGCAGCCTCCAGTCCTGCTGTCCTGTCGCAGCCCCCAGTCCTCCAGTTCTGTCGCCAGCCTCTAGTCTTGCTGTCCTGTCACAGCCTCCAGTCCTGCTGTCCTGTCGCAGCCCCCAGTCCTCCAGTTCTGTCGCCAGCCTCTAGTCCTGCTGTCCTGTCGCAGCCTCCAGTCCTGCTGTCCTGTCGCAGCCCCCAGTCCTCCAGTTCTGTCGCCAGCCTCTAGTCTTGCTGTCCTGTCGCAGCCCCCAGTCCTCCAGTTCTGTCGCCAGCCTCTAGTCCTGCTGTCCTGTCACAGCCTCTAGTCTTGCTGTCCTGTCCCAGCCTCTAGTCTTGCTGTCCTGTCGCAGCCCCCAGTCCTCCAGTTCTGTCGCCAGCCTCTAGTCTTGCTGTCCTGTCGCAGCCTCCAGTCCTGCTGTCCTGTCGCAGCCTCTAGTCTTGCTGTCCTGTCGCAGCCCCCAGTCCTAAAGTTCTGTCGCCAGCCTCTAGTCTTGCTGTCCTGTCGCAGCCTCTAGTCTTGCTGTCCTGTCGCAGCCTCTAGTCTTGCTGTCCTGTCGCAGCCTCTAGTCCTGCTGTCCTGTCGCAGCCTCTAGTCTTGCTGTCCTGTCGCAGCCTCTAGTCTTGCTGTCCCGTCGCAGCCTCTAGTCCTGCTGTCCCGTCGCAGCCTCTAGTCTTGCTGTCCTGTCGACAGCCTCTAGTCTTGCTGTCCTGTCACAGCCTCCAGTCTTGCTGTCCTGTCGCAGCCCCCAGTCCTCCAGTTCTGTCGCCAGCCTCTAGTCTTGCTGTCCTGTCGCAGCCTCCAGTCCTGCTGTCCTGTCGCAGCCTCTAGTCCTGCTGTCCTGTCGCAGCCCCCAGTCCTCCAGTTCTGTCGCCAGCCTCTAGTCTTGCTGTCCTGTCGCAGCCTCTAGTCTTGCTGTCCTGTCGCAGCCTCTAGTCTTGCTGTCCTGTCGCAGCCTCTAGTCCTGCTGTCCTGTCACAGCCTCTAGTCTTGCTGTCCTGTCACAGCCTCTAGTCTTGCTGTCCTGTCGCAGCCCCCAGTCCTCCAGTTCTGTCGCCAGCCTCTAGTCTTGCTGTCCTGTCGCAGCCCCCAGTCCTCCAGTTCTGTCGCCAGCCTCTAGTCTTGCTGTCCTGTCGCAGCCCCCAGTCCTCCAGTTCTGTCGCCAGCCTCTAGTCTTGCTGTCCTGTCACAGCCTCTAGTCTTGCTGTCCTGTCGCAGCCTCTAGTCTTGCTGTCCTGTCGCAGCCTCTAGTCCTGCTGTCCTGTCGCAGCCTCTAGTCTTGCTGTCCTGTCGCAGCCTCTAGTCTTGCTGTCCTGTCACAGCCTCTAGTCTTGCTGTCCTGTCGCAGCCCCCAGTCCTCCAGTTCTGTCGCCAGCCTCTAGTCTTGCTGTCCTGTCGCAGCCTCCAGTCCTGCTGTCCTGTCACAGCCTCTAGTCTTGCTGTCCTGTCGCAGCCTCTAGTCTTGCTGTCCTGTCGCAGCCCCCAGTCCTCCAGTTCTGTCGCAGCCTCTAGTCTTGCTGTCCTGTCACAGTCTCTAGTCTTGCTGTCCTGTCACAGCCCCCAGTCCTCCAGTTCTGTCGCCAGCCTCTAGTCTTGCTGTCCTGTCACAGCCTCTAGTCTTGCTGTCCTGTCGCAGCCCCCAGTCCTCCAGTTCTGTCGCCAGCCTCTAGTCTTGCTGTCCTGTCACAGCCTCCAGTGCTGTTGTCCCTTCGCTGCCTTTAGTTCTGCTGTCCTGACGCAGCCTCTAGTCTTGCTGTCCTGTCACAGCCTCTAGTCTTGCTGTCCTGTCGCAGCCTCTAGTCTTGCTGTCCTGTCGCAGCCTCCAGTCCTGCTGTCCTGTCACAGCCTCTAGTCTTGCTGTCCTGTCACAGCCTCTAGTCTTGCTGTCCCGTCGCCAGCCTCTAGTCTTGCTGTCCTGTCGCAGCCTGCTGTCCTGTCGCAGCCTCTAGTCCTGCTGTCCCGTCACCAGCCTCCAGTCCTGCTGTCCTGTCGCCAGCCTCCAGTCCTGCTGTCCCGTCGCAGCCTCCAGTCCTGCTGTCCCGTCGCAGCCTCCAGTCTTGCTGTCCCGTCGCAGCCTCCAGTCTTGCTGTCCCGTCGCAGCCTCTAGTCTTGCTGTCCCGTCGCAGCCTCTAGTCTTGCTGTCCTGTCGCAGCCTCTAGTCTTGCTGTCCTGTCGCAGCCTCTAGTCCTGCTGTCCTGTCGCAGCCTCCAGTCCTGCTGTCCTGTCGCAGCCTCCAGTCCTGCTGTCCTGTCGCAGCACTCCAGCCATCAAACTCTGTTCTTGTTCTCCAGCCTTATTTCCAACCTCCTGCCCGGTGCACAGGGGGTCATCATCAAGGTTTTTTGTCCTCCTACCTGCCTGACCTCATAAGGGAGTCATCCTTTGTCATTGCCCTCCTGGTCATCCTCCTGACCAACTCCGCCTTTTGGCCCGATCTCTAGGTCATCCTCGGGACCTGTTTGGCCCGCTGTCCTACCTTCAGGTCGCCAGCGGACAGACTATTTTCTGAAGTCAGCTTGGCGGAAACATTGCACACATGCGCAGTGGATCGGTTGGTGCCTTGGTAGTGCCAGTCGGCGCACGGACCTGGCACGGACGACTTAAGTGTCTGCACTGCCTTAAGTCTACCAGAAGTAGAACAAGAAGAACTGTAGACTGCTTTTCCGTTTCCAGCTACTGAAGAAACATGACAATATTCAAACATTCTAAAATACATAATGGTTTGTTATGTCTGAGGATCTATCAACAGAAATGCAATATAAAATCCAACTATGTTTTCAGTGGTGTGTAAAGACCTTACATATTACACACTGAACCTTTAAATCAAATCAATCTCGATTCATTAAATCAATCAACAGTCTGAAATCTGATCAATAATTTAAGTGTATGGTGGAGGAGTGCATGCTGGGATTGACTCAGTGACAGTTTAGATTTTACATTTTCTACACATCAAATATAAAAACATCTAAATGAATTTGAACAAACCTTTCAAACATCAAACTCAAAATCATCTTTTCATCATTTTTCGCAGATTAAGTTTAGTTTAAGATTCAGTCGATGTTCAAACATCAAACATCAATTTATCTTAAATATTTTCTGTCAAATCAAATATGATAAAAAAGAAAATCATTCTGACTAAAATACAGTAAAATACAATAGAAACAGTGTGTAGTGATGTAACCACAGTGAAGAGTGGTTAGAATATAATGGAATATAAATAGAAACAGGATGTATTTACCACAGTGAAGAGTGGTTAGAATATAATGGAATATAAATAGAAACAGGATGTATTTACCATAGTGAAGAGTGGTTAGAATATAATGGAATATAAATAGAAACAGGATGTATTTACCACAGTGAAGCGTGGTTAGAATATAATGGAATATAAATAGAAACAGGATGTATTTACCACAGTGAAGAGTGGTTAGAATATAATGGAATATAAATAGAAACAGGATGTATTTACCACAGTGAAGAGTGGTTAGAATATAATGGAATATAAATAGAAACAGGATGTATTTACCACAGTGAAGAGAGATCCAAACAGCAGCAGCAGAAAAACGTTGTGCAGATTCTCCTCAGTATCCATTTCTGTGTCAAACACATTCACCTCCTGCTGCCTGAATCTTATCTCTTTATCTGGTTCTCTCTCCTTTACTCATCTATTGTGCATCCGTCTCTCTGCTCCTCTCCCTCCCTCCTCTCTGTTCCCGCTCTTCCTCCTCCCTCCCTCCTCTCTGTTCCCGCTCTTCCTCCTCCCTCCCTCATCTCTGTTCCTGCTCTTCCTCCTCCCTCCCTTCTGATGTGGTGCTAAAGATCAGAAACAAGATCCTACAGCTCACACTTTCATGAGTGTTATTGTGGTTATTGTGCGTGTTACCTTGTGTGTTACCATGTGTGTTACACTGTGTGTTACCCCGTGTTACCCTGTGTTTTACCTTGTGTGTTACCTTGTGTGTTATCCTGTGTTACCCTGTGTTGCCTGTGTGTTACACTGTGTGTTACACTGTTACCCTGTGTTACCTTGTGTGTTACCCTGTGTTACCTTGTGTGTTACCCTGTGTGTTACACTGTTACCCTGTGTTACCTTGTGTGTTACCCTGTGTTACACTGTTACCCTGTGTTACCCTGTGTTACCTTGTGTGTTACTCGGTGTTACCTTGTGTGTTACCATGTGTGTTACACTGTGTGTTACCCGTGTTACCCTGTGTTTTACCTTGTGTGTTACCTTGTGTGTTATCCTGTGTTACCCTGTGTTGCCTGTGTGTTACACTGTTACCCTGTGTTACCTTTTGTGTTACCCAGTGTTACCTTGTGTGTTACCCTGTGTGTTACACTGTTACCCTGTGTTACCCTGTGTTACCTTGTGTGTTACTCTGTGTTTCCTTGTGTGTTACCCTGTGTTACACTGTTATTCTGTGCGTTACCCTGTGTTACCTTGTGTGTTACCCGGTGTTACCTTGTGTGTTACCCTGTGTTACACTGTTACCCTGTGCGTTACCTTGTGTGTTACCTTGTGTGCTACCCTGATACCCGTGTGTTACCCAGTGTTACCTGTGTGTTACCCTGTGTTTTACACTGTTACCCTGTGTTACCTTGTGTTAAACCTTGTGTGTTACCTTGTGTGTTACCCTGGTACCCTGTGTTACCTGTGTGTTACCCTGTTACCCTGTGTGTTACACTGTTACCCTGTGTTACACTATGTTACTCTGTGCGTTACCCTGTGTTACCTTGTGTGTTACCCAGTGTTACCTTGTGTGTTAACCTGTGTGTTACACTGTTACCCTGTGTTACCCTGTGTTACCTTGTGTGTTACTCTGTGTGTCCTTGTGTGTTACACTGTTACCCTGTGCGTTACCCTGTTGTGTGTTACCTTGTGTGCTACCCTGATACCCGTGTGTTACCCAGTGTTACCTGTGTGTTACCCTGTGTGTTACACTGTTACCCTGTTTTACCTTGTGTTTTACCTTGTGTGTTACCTTGTGTGTTACCCTGATACCCTGTGTTACCTGTGTGTTACCCTGTTACCCTGTGTGTTACACTGTTACCCTGTGTTACACTGTTTTACCCTGTGCGTTACCCTGTGTTACCTTGTATGTTACCCTGTGTGTTACCCTGATACCCTTTTTTACCCTGAGTTACTTGTGTGTTATCCTGTGCGTTACCCTGTGTTACCTGTGTGTTATACTGTTACCCTGTGTGTTACACTGTTACCTTGTGTGTTACCCTGTGTTACCTTGTGTGTTACCCTGATACACTGTGTTACCCTGTGTTACCCTGTGTGTTACCCTGTGTTACCCTGTGCGTTACCCTGTGTGTTACACTGTGTTACCCTGTGCGTTACCCTGTGTTACCTGTGTGTTACACTGTTACCCTGTGTGTTACACTGTTACCCTGTGTGTTACCCTGTATGTTACACTGTGTTACCCTGTGCATTATCCTGTGTTACCCTGTTACCCTGTGTTCCTCTGTGTTACCCTGTGTGTTAAATTGTTACCCTGTGTTACCCTGTGTGTTACATTGTTACCCTGTGTTACCCTGTGCGTTACCCTGTATGTTACACTGTGTTACCCTGTGTTACTCTGTGTTACCTGTGTGTAATACTGTTACCCTGTGTTACCCTGTGCGTTACCCTGTGTGTTACACTGTGTTATCCTGTGCGTTACCCTGTGTTACCCTGTTTCCCTGTGTTACCCTGTGTGTTACATTGTTACCCTGTGTTACCCTGTGCGTTACCCTGTGTTACACTGTGTTATCCTGTGTGTTACCCTGTGTTACCTGTGTGTTACACTGTTACCCTGTGTTACCTTGTGTGTTACCCTGATACCCTGTGTTACCTGTATGTTACACTGTTACCCTGTGTTACCTTGTGTGTTACCCTGTGTTACACTGTGTTATCCTGTGTGTTACCCTGTGTTACCTGTGTGTTACACTGTTACCCTGTGTTACCTTGTGTGTTACCCTGATACCCTGTGTTACCTGTATGTTACACTGTTACCCTGTGTTACCCTGTGTGTTACCCTGTGTTACACTGTGTTATCCTGTGTGTTACCCTGTGTTACCTGTGTGTTACACTGTTACCCTGTGTTACCTGTGTGTTACACTTTTACCCTGTGTGTTACCTTGTGTGTTACACTGTGTTACCCTGTGCATTATCCTGTGTTACCCTGTTACCCTGTGTTCCTCTGTGTTACCCTGTGTGTTAAATTGTTACCCTGTGTTACCCTGTGTGTTACATTGTTACCCTGTGTTACCCTGTGCGTTACCCTGTATGTTACACTGTGTTACCCTGTGTTACTCTGTGTTACCTGTGTGTAATACTGTTACCCTGTGTTACCCTGTGCGTTACCCTGTGTGTTACACTGTGTTATCCTGTGCGTTACCCTGTGTTACTCTGTGTTACCTGTGTTACCCTGTGTGTTACACTGTTACCCTGTGTTACCCTGTGTGTTACCCTGTGTTACACTGTGTTATCCTGTGTGTTACCCTGTGTTACCTGTGTGTTACACTGTTACCCTGTGTTACCTTGTGTGTTACCCTGATACCCTGTGTTACCTGTATGTTACACTGTTACCCTGTGTTACCCTGTGTGTTACCCTGTGTTACACTGTGTTATCCTGTGTGTTACCCTGTGTTACCTGTGTGTTACACTGTTACCCTGTGTTACCTTGTGTGTTACCCTGATACCCTGTGTTACCTGTATGTTACACTGTTACCCTGTGTTACCCTGTGTGTTACCCTGTGTTACACTGTGTTATCCTGTGTGTTACCCTGTGTTACCTGTGTGTTACACTGTTACCCTGTGTTACCTTGTGTGTTACCCTGATACCCTGTGGTACCTGTATGTTACACTGTTACCCTGTGTTACCTTGTGTGTTACCCTGATACCCTGTGTTACCTGTGCGTTACCCTGTGTTACCATCTGTGTTATACTCTTACCCCGTGTTACCCTGTGTTACCTGTGTGTTACACAGCAGTCACTCTGTATGCAGCATTAGGGACTTGGATTCTGGAGGCCCCGGGGAGCCAGTGGAGGTCACTGAGTAATGGGGGAACATGAGTCCTTTTGGGCTGATCAGAAACCAGACGAGCTGCTGAGCTCTGAACCATTTGTAGGGGTTTCACCGCACAAGCTGGAAGAGATCTTTATTGTAGGAACATTTTCTATGTCAGCCTCTGCCTCACTGTTAATATGCAGATCTTTAGAAAAAACTGGCCTCTCTCTTCAATTTGACCTCAAAACATACAAGTCAATCAATCTCCTGTTTCCGTCCTCTTACGTTACATCCACTTTTCTACTCTCCCAAACGCTGAACCTTCCCACGTCATCTTCATCACCTGACCGCCTTCTGGTGCATCAGTCAGATCTGAATTAACAGTTGCCAAAGTGCTCTTCTCACGAGCCCTATGCCATTTCACTTTGGGTTTCTGCCCATCACTCCTTTCTTTCCTTGGCTGCCGGCTGTCCCTGATCCCCTGGTCCTGCCGTGCTGCCGTCTGCTTCTTTCTCAGTGAGGGATACTGACATCCTGCACACTCTGATTCCTTGACTTCACCGACATCTTAAGAAGTAGTGATCAATGCGGGGTCCTTGAGCACCACCATCTCCACCTGCTCCCAGGCACCTTTTTCATCCAGCTACGAGGGCCTTTCTGCAACTGTCTTTCCCCTTTGATACTGTGTCTTCTCCCGTCTCACTGTCCATCCCGCCGATATATGCAGTCCTTCCTGTGAGCCAGCCTCAGCTCCTGCTCTCACTGTTTTACGGTTTCCTGTTTTGTTAAACCCTTCTTCAGGTCTGCGTATTTACTGTGTTAGCATTTGCCAAATAACAGCTCGCCGTGTCCAGTGCTTGAATCAACAATGTCAAACAAGTTGGCAACGAGGATGAGCACTTGAGTCCACCGCCTTTTCTTCATCACATGGGTGAGCCGCCAATGACGCTTGAGGCATGGTGAAAAATCTTTGACAACTACACACGAGTGATAAATGCGGTCTAACCACATGCGCTTTCTGCTCACTGTATAATGAGAAGAGAAAAACATGTACAGAGGCAAACAGCACATCTTTTACTGTTTCATGGAAACATTCAGGGGTGGCGCGGTGGTGCAGTGGTTAGCACTGTCGCCTCACAGCAAGAAGGTCGAGGGTTCAAACCCCTGTTGCTGCGGCATTCCTCCCACTGTCCAAAGATGTGCGGACTAGGTTGATTGGTGACCCTAAAATGTCCTTAGGTGTGAGCGTGAGTGGTTGTTTGTCTATGTGTGGCCCTGCCACAGACTGTCAGCTGGGATTGGCTCCCCGCGACCCTGTATGCAGGATAAGCGTTTGACAATGGATGGAAACATTCTAATTGAAGTAATCCCTGAGTATTTTTTTTTTCAAAATGTACCTGTAGTCTGATTATGTCTATTTTTTCTGTACTGTAACAGAATAGAGTAACTTTCTTTGTAACATAATTACGTTACGCCGTTACACGTAATCCGTTGTGCGTTCAGACTATCTGCCTCACCAACGTTTTCACCAGTAGTTAATAAACACTAAACTGCATGTGCTCCACCTAGGTGTCTGCATTATGGCCTGTAGGCCTAGTGTACCGCAGTCTGGGTTAGCAGTGACCAGTCTCTGTGATAGACTATAGCCTAGCCTACTAACCTAAAATAAATAGCCTGCAGGTCTACAATAACCTAAGG